GGCGTGTATGTGCGCCCGATTCGAGACAATGTATTATCACTATCATCATCGATTGCGACGACCCCGATCACTTGTGATGGCTGCAACCGACTGGTTGCTGGGTAGCCATTTCCTGCTGCCTCCACCTAAGTGCCCCACTTTGCGTAGTCGGGGACCCCTCAGAGGTGACAGCAATTCATGTAGAATTCGCTGACCATGAGTCCCTTACAAATCACTCGTATTCAGAGTATTGAGCAGGAAGGGCCTTCAGAAAAGGGTCCATGTGGTCAGGCTCGAATCCAGCCAGTTCATAAACTTCCTTTTTGAGACTTTTCGTGTATTTCGTAGTTGCTTGGCGGGCATAGTAGGCAAATCTGGTCTGATTTGAGCATTATGCATTTCTGATTCATCAAATGAAAAATGTTGACAGATGACCGTTTTCTTATCTGACTCACTTACGTGAATTGAAAAAAAAGCTGCACAGTGGGAATTCGCCATATACCGCTATATACAAAACCGATAAAGAAGGTCTTCTTGGAATGCTTATGCATATGCCGCAGTTAGTCTGAGGAATTGATCTCACGATGAACCAACCACTCAAACCAAATCACGTACCAATTAAAGATGTGAGTTATGAATAGTCTCAGATCGAACCATTTGTTATTCAGAGAACGATCGAAAAAGGACAAAATCGTGCTTATTTTGAATGCTATTTTGAAAGGAATTCAGCGAATGCCCGGTGACAGGGTAGGTGTCAGAATTAAGATCTTTCGCCGACTAGAAATCGAAGCATGATCTTTTCTATAACTCTCGTGGAGGTAGAATTACCTCCATCCGATCAAAAAAACTGACAGCCTTCCTGAACACATATCATTGGGAGAAATCCATGTTGAGTTGTGGCAGAACGCAACCTTCCTGAGTTTTTCTCAGTCCCTATACACTGCCCTCAAGTCCATCGTAGAGTGTGCAAGCCCAGTTCATCAAGGAAGGTCCACGAATCACAACTGACGTCGTAACCCCTCAAATGTAGACATCCAAACGAACCATAAGTATTCAACCGAGTGGTCGAAGAGGAATATTGTGTCCATTCCATCCATGTTCGACCACTATTTGATGGAGTCTGCCGCTTACTCAAAGCGATTCTCCCACAATTGTTTCGGTACTGTATCCTAGGTAGCCTAGGTAGTACGATAGCGTTCAATGAATTTCCTGTTATGAGGGAATTATAATAGTGACGATGCCATACTACTGTGTTCATTAGCTTCAACGTGTACTGCGGAAACCAAAATGAGCTTCGATGCGTAGTTACAGTAGTAGATATTGCTTTTTCATCTTCTTCCACTCCCTAGCGTTCCTCGATCAGGTCCTACCAACTCTTCTTTAGGGCCCCTAGCTGTCGACTAGGTCTTCCCTTCTGCCTGGAATTCCAGTGCCTCCCTTACTGGATGATTTCGTGGCCTGACAAGTACTGCAGCATCATCCTACTAAATATGTCACACTACGTATTCTGACTGTGTGCGTGTGTGTGTGTGTGTGTGTGTGTATGCAACTAGGAGTGTGTGGGGTGTTTCACCGGAAATTCGTAATTGCAGTTCCCGTGAACCTAGAGCGTTCAAATTGATAGAAGAACAGGTGGCAGGATGGAAACAGCGAACTTAGGTGGCAAGACTCGACCCCGTTCATAGGAGTCGCGGCATGCGCGAAACTTGTTAATTCGGACAGGAGGCGTTCAACCTTGTTAGAGGTAAAGACGGAAGGCCTACGACACTGGTAGTAGGCAGTGGAAGCGACTGATCTGGATCTCGTCCGTGGGAAGATAGAGGATGAAAGGGGATGAATCGGGTAGAGAGTACTTGAAATGAACGTAAACTGACTAAATTTACTCAATCAAGCTGAAAAAAGAGGGGAATGAACTATATCATCAAACACACATGAGTTGAGTAGGACTCAACTCATGGCAGGCAAGGCGCTCACAGATTATGGTTGGAGGCTTGCGTGTGTTTGGCTGAAAATTCGAAACTACTCTTCTTTTGTATGGCAGGGTGGCAGGGTCCAATCTCGGAACTGGTCAATGAATATTATTTAACATCATAAGAACGTTTCGCTAACTGCCTGACACAGCTGCATTCACTAATGATGCGTTGCAGCTTTCACAGTTTAAAGAAAAATATTTGTGTGGGTGCCAATCATTGGGATAGTGCTGACCACCTAATTCGTACACTGTTCATGGTGGCTCAATAAGCACAGCCGAAATGACGATAGTCTTGCTTTTTAGGTTCTTATCAATTGCCTCAGTTTTTCCAGAGCGGACAAGGGACGAATATAGGTTTCCATTTCATCCGAAATGATTCCCGTCGTACAGCAAAAGAAGCGTTTAGTAACACATTTATCACTACGGCACCCGGTATGGGCAAATTTTATTCNAGTCTTGCTTTTTAGGTTCTTATCAATTGCCTCAGTTTTTCCAGAGCGGACAAGGGACGAATATAGGTTTCCAATTCATCCGAAATGATTCTCGCTCGTACAGCAAAAGAAGCGTTCAGTAACACATTTATCACTACGGCACCCGGTATGGGCAAATTTTATTCTTTTAGGGTTTGACTTCCAGAGTGAGGTTTCATTCATTCATGGTATCGACCCCACTGCGAAGCAACTAAACGGGTGATGCCCCATTGCAGCCACTCATCTTGATGCTATTTTTGCCGCAAAATTACTTGGCTGGTATGATTAATAGCGCCAGTCGTCGAACACAAATGGTAGTTGATGTTTAGTCAAAATTCTGGCACAAAATGATAGTATCGTTGTTTGTGTGCACAGTTCACGATAAAAATGATTCCTAAGAATCCAACTAGGATGAACCTGTAGCCTTTAAATAGCACGTGAGACATTGTTGGGCCGAAAAATGACTCTGGCAAAGATACCAAAAAGCTTCAAAGCCGGCTTAGCCAACGTACACGCTCGAAAGCAGTCGTGATATGACGGCATTATCAAGGCTGCACCACACGCATGAAGCGTTAGGACGGAGACGAATAGTGTGCACATATGGGAGGCTCACAGACAGTACATGACTCACTTCCTTTTTACTTTAAACGCAGAGTTCATGATAGTTTTGAGGTAACCCTTTTCAGTCGAAAAGCGGAAGTAGGTTGGGACTACTTCATCGGTAGTGGAGAAAGCAAGAAGATTTGGCGATTTTGAGATAAATAAGTGCAACTGTTGCAATTGCGCGAAAAGCTGACTACATCGAGGCAAAACTGCCTTAAATTCCCTATTACTATTACTGTGAGCCATGGCATTGTTTGAATTTCCTGATGCGACGGTGGCCGCTGGGCGCACCGTGCGCGCCCCGGCCCATCTTTGCTCGGCCGCAACCACGCGGCGCGTATGCGCGCGCGTTGTGCGCGTTCCTTCGCATAGCCTAGTCAGTCGTCACTCGTCATTCACCGCGACCGGCTGGCTGTCGGCTGCTAGTCGGTATAGCCGGGCAACGCTGTGAAGTTGCCTATAAGGCAACGGAGCGCCAGTGTAAGCCCGACCAGTATCCGAGCTCCCCTCTCCGAGGGCGTGTAGTTGTCACCTGTCGGAGGAAGTTGTCACCTGTCTGCTGAGGAGGAAGAAAGGCAAGAAGACCGAGACCAATGGGGGCCCGGAATGGACAACTGAAGGAACTTGCCTTGAGGAGGCCCAAAGATCGAGGGATAGGTGAGTGTCATCTATCGCTCTTTGTACATATGCTTTGTATATATATTGCATCATTGCCATATTCAATGTGCTTTACTTATGATAATCACTTTACACTCTCGTGATACTCACTGGCTCTGACCCACATGTCCATCATTATAGTGTAGTTCTCTATTTAGCATTTCGTAGCTATAGTGTAGTTCGTAGTTAGCATAATAAACCAGTGTTCCTTACTTTTGTACTTGTCTCGGGGAGCTAAGTAAGATAGGGCACTCTGGTTGGTCGCGACGGGAGAAGTAAGTTATGTCGCCGCGTTCAGTCAGCTGGTACTTGTGTCGGGGGCAGGGTACTAGGCTGAGGTCGCTCGGCAACGTGGAAGCCTTCCCAGCCGACACCCCTTGGTCCTCGGGGGGTTGGTCCGCCCTGCTGTCTCGGGGCGCAGGAAGTGCGTGGTGGTCCGGTGAGCGAGGAGGTTTGAGGTGCTCGTACCGCCGATGCGGATCGCGCTCCAAAGGGTGGCCATTAACTCGCGTGATCCTGCATGGGTTTCCTGGTGAATGGCGCAGCCTCTACAATATCGGTGAAACTCGTCCGAGAGTACACACGAGATAATCTTCGAGCCTTTGAAACGCCTATCTAAGCCGTTTTCCGACTCAGCAGCTCCACATACGGTAGACGAGGGGCCACAAATTTATCCTAGCGAATATTTGGTAAGTCATTCATTACTGTCGTGGACTGTGCATTTGATAAAGCCTTCTATTACCTGAGATCCACCGATTTTTGCGCTGTGTTCGTCATTTTTCGCACTACTCTCCCTATAGTTTCGATTATTTCTCTTGGGCTATAAACCTGGATACCTAAAGACTATCGTGAACTGTGCCTTTGAAGAGCAGAGCCGATTCTTAGCAAAAAGGGTCGCCTCAATTTTGCGCTCTCCAGTCCAGGACAAATTCCATTCGGTCAGCTGGGCCGCCAACCTTTTCCTTATCGGATGACTGCCATAAGATTTTCTTGGAATTGAAAGGACGCTGACTTGAATGAAAGTTTATAAGCACAAACAACATTTTCAACTAATCGAAGGGTTCTGGATTGAATATTTATGATCAAATTCCAGAGGATAGTACAACTTTGAATAGATTTTTACAATAATATAGCATAACATGCTTTACGTATGCTCACCAATTGAAAGTAAGGTACACACTGAGCAGGAAGTGCATTTTACAGTTGGACTAGATGAATTGCTGAACACAGGTAATGATACAGAGGTTAGTAGAAGTTAGTTTGTACAAAAAAAAAGGTTGAAAGGAAAATAGTACAGTACAGACCCGACTTATGATATATCACGAGCGAGCGGTCTCCCAAGCCCAGTAGAATACCGTGGCTGCAAACACAATTAGGCCTATTGCGACACCGATACCATCGTTAGAAGGACGTTCTGGACGACCATCTTGTCGCCATTCGTCATCCTGCTCCTCTTGCTCCTCACTTGCAACTAAATCTGATACTTTATTATAAAATTGGCGATTTTATACAAAACATCCTCGAACCCACTCCTTTCTTCAATCCGCTTTTCGGCGGCTCTTTCGTCTTCCGCTGACGGGAGCATAACAGTCTCCTGAGGTCGCGTGGGAGGGAATTTGAAAGGTAGGAGTTGTAACTGAAAGACTGAAATTTTCTTGAGCCCGAGCAAAACCCAAAACTTTGTAAACTGACAGTCATTATCTTCGCGAGAGTTACAAAATCAGGAGTTGGTACGGGGTTCCCTTGCCAATCGAAAAGCTGGTAACGGAGAGTACGGATCTGAACCCAATGAAATGAATGCCGGACTGAAGTTCAAGCGCAGACAGACCGCAGGCTGCCCATCAGCCCTTTTCAAATCCGTCACGCAGTAGATTATGACACAAAATTGGATCAACTTAAACTGCCTCTTGAAAGAGTGGCTCATGGACTAGGTCTTACCTCACCATCGATGATCAATGCAGCTTCTACCGGCTCATCCTTCGGCGATCTCGGTGCAGGTGGGATTCGTACCACAACAGGGTCAGACTTGCTGCCTACAGCCGTCAACTCGTTCACAGTCGTGCTGGGGATCGGCACCCGGTTGTTCTTCGGAGAACTCTGAGCTGGTCTGGTGGATTTTTGTGTGCTTTTGCCAGCAGTAGCTCCGTTGTTAACAGATGTTTTTGGTGGAATCTAAATGTTCGGAGTCGAAGAAAGGAACGGATGCTACACGAACAACTCACCTTCCCAACTGATAATGGAACAGAAGAGTTGTTCGGGTGCGGCTGAAAAATGCCAACTCTATCAGAGCGAATTAGTTTGTGTAGAGACACATGAATACGGGACTAGAATCCCTCTTCAAGTTAAAAGGTAAGCCAGATAATGATTTTCGAATAAAGTTATGGCCACTTAATCGTCTCTGAAAGGCTGCTAGGAACCTGCCAGTATTCAAGTCCAGGCTTCTAACACAAAATCAGGCTTGTCGAAAGGAAAAGAGATATTTTTGCTGGCCGATGGCTGACTGCACTGAGCAGGTTCGGCAATACCGCGCTCACCTCTGGTCCTATTCTGTCTAACACACAGATTCAAAGTTTTACCTTTTTTCGACAATCTTCGGGTAGGATCCATTCAAGAGCGGCCTCAAATCCATGATCTTCACCGCGCATAACCGCCGATAGCAAGCTGTCGAGCAGACTTTTTTCACCAATTCGGCATTTATTGTCGATTTTGTTCTTGAAGCAGGTCAGAAGGCAACGTGTATTGCTGGAACAAAACAGAGTGAGCGTATGGAGGAGTGGTAACGATGTTCACCTGCAGACTCACTCGTGCCACACTCAAAGATCTAAATCCCATAGCGCGATTGGGGTTCAAATATAAAGAGCTTGCTGGCGCCATTCAATTCTGTTATGGGTCCACAGGGAGGTGGTGTAGTGGCAAGTGGCGCACTGCACACACGCATGGTCACGGGCTCGAATATCGGACCATGCCCGCCTAGGCCAACCAAGCCTTCTCCATCCCTCTGGGGTCGGTGAATTGGTACCGGACTCGTCTAGTAAGATAAAAACACTGACTTGTACATCGTCTGGCCACCGCCATTCATTGTATAGTCCACATACGCACTTATTACACCACTACGACTGAAAGGGAGTCAAGTACGGCGGAAGGGGGAGAGGGGGGGGGGGGGGGGGGGGGGGGGGATCCCGCAGACGGGATTGATTAACGCCACAAACTTTATCCTTATCCTTCATGGGTCCACAAATTTCGAACGGATCGAGATTCTACCCGGGATCATGCGCATGATAGTGAGCCACTCGTTACTGCACCAATCCACAACTCGTAGAATACAGACCTCGACCATAATTACCAGTTTTCACGATGGATAAGCATAAATTCATATTCTTGTAATGGGTGCATCAGCTGTTGGAATGATCGGAAAGCACAAAGAAAGCACCTTCGAGCATAGACCTTTCATCTATAGAATAGCAGAGGCATTCGATTGGGAATCATCCGAAGAAAAGTTCAGCCAGCTATCTAGTCAGCCATGATTAGGTGTAAAGTCTGTTTTCATCCTGCCAGAGAAGCCTACTTTCAGGTAACCTTCGCCTTATCAGAAATGATTTTCATTGATAGAGGAGGGATGATTCCTCACAACCGCTCGTTCTTACTCATTAAACACATAATCACCAGGTCTCGTAAAGCTACGGAATGCTTCATATCAATTAGTAGCTAAGTTAGAGTCGGTGGCTAACTGACCCTAGTATCCCATATCATCTTTCTCCTTGAAAACGGGGTTCAACGCCTTATCAAATGCATTCGTATCCTTCATTAAGGAGAAGAAAGCAAAGGGGAGTCCTTCTTTAGGAAAAAAGATTTCCGGATATTTCTTGGACCCATTCGTATGAAAGTGTGAAAGCAGCAGCTTGGCAAACACCAGTACAAATAGGCAAACAACTGACCAATAAGTGTCCTCAAAAAATGAAAGGTAAAAGAGGGAGGCTTGAACTGACTTGCAGAAACGAGGTACTTCAAATATCGTCTCTAGTTTATTATTCGAGGCATCGTCGATAATTCTCGACTGAACTTCACAATGCGCTTCGCATTCCGGTTGAACATTCATGGCGTTTTCCTTCACACATTCCATGGATTCAGAGATGGCTGAAATTCCCAAGGCTTTTTATTATTTAAGTACACCATAGAGCGGGCACATAGCTTATAAAAGAGGTTCACCAGTGGGAAAGGAAGGGCAACGTTATCTTGCTATCCACCTGTGTTTCTCCTAACTCTGTGTTGTGTCAGCATCTGCTACTAGAATGGAACTGGGAAACTCATCTACAAACGCACTGTATATAGCTTCAAAGGCACCGGGAAAAAGGGGGGTGGGGGCTGGGGGGCGGGGAAGAAGACGAGAAAAGGATGATAAATGTAAATGAAATTCGGGTAGAAAAGAATTGGAAAATTCGCACCTTGAACATTGTTAAGGCACACGAATTGGAATGCACTGGCAGTCGCCTCGATGAACACCTTTGAGCAGCCAGCAGAAGATGCGCAGTGCGTTGATGCTTGAAGTTCACTAAATGTTCATATTGGGAAGGATCAGAATCAACAAGGCTCAGCTTGAAATAATGAAGCTCCTAAGGAAAACTATATGCCCGATTGAGGCGATTTACGTATGGGAAAGGGGAAGACTATGATACATTGCTTCTTAATGATTGACTTCTATGTATTGATGAAGAAGCGGATGTTTTCAAGCTGCTATCTACTGTATAGGCGTGTGGTAGATGCACTCGAGCAGAGTTCTAACCAGAAACTGCCTTTAAGGGAATCAGCAAGTGAAGGGGGGGTCGTGAGTTCTTGTTCCCATTCCGGCGAAAAGATATGCACTGGCAGGGCGAACTGGAGATGGAGTCAGTATCATCCATTTTCCTTATCAGACAAAAGCTAAATGAAGCACTAAAGAGGTTGAAGCGAGGGATGGTGCTGAATTAGAGAATTCAGTTTAGGATTTTTCTTCCAAACTTTTTGAAATGACTGCTTCTTCTTCACTGTTTCACTTAGACCTCATCCTTTGAAAGAAAAGTGGATTATATAAGCTCCAGAACCAGTGTGCTCTGTCAGGATCTTGCCACTGTGAACTTGCCTTACTAGACTTTCCTAGACAGAGTTTGGTCGGAAGTTCCGAACGCTGACAGCATCAGACCGGCCCTGTATTGCGGGGTAACGCCTAGCGAGGGCTTAGTCAACACAAGGTTGCCACTGCATCAGAGAAGAACTCAGGGCGTCTTCGAGTCCTTCCCTGCTATGACCTCTTCGCTGTTAGCTTGAACGCCCTTAATATTCCTTTGCATTACGATCCGAGCGTGAAGGTTTCGGAGTTATGCTTTGATGAGCTGGGTAAGGTGCGGGCATAAGGGCGACCAACCGACACGGATGGCTGCACGACGTACCAAATCGGATCTCGTTATTGCGATCTCTCGTGTGATGTCAAAGGTACTACTTTATATCAACCCAAGCCAAAACCGTCAGTATCACGAAAAAATCGAAAACACTTAGCCTACTTTTCCAAGGGTCATAATAGCGACAAACCTGCAGAAGTTGGCCATATCTTTGGTGTCATTGTTCTTTGACAGAGCACTGAGCACCCCGTCAATCTCCGGCAGACACTGCTTCATGCAAGCAGGCATTTGGAAAGTCGACAAAAACTGGGAGATATTGATCGCATTTGGGCCGCGAAAAGAACCTGAACAAATCGATCACTCGCAAATCTCTTCAAAAACTCGACCCGCTTACCTATAAGATTAGTGAGGAAGTTAGTAGAGTCATTGGTGGTGTTCCCAATGGTCGCCGGGAGCAGACAATAAAGCAACAAGGTCAGGCGCACGCGCATTTTCCTAAAACTTGATTTTTTTTTTGGAACATTTTGTGACTTAGCACTAATAAATCCTAATCGCATTCAAAAACTGTATCGGATGAACTTACAGTGAGTTTGGGGGAGCACACCTTGTGATGGGACCTCTCGGAATCGAACTGGTCTCTCGTTAATTAGGAAAGGGCGCCAAAGACCCGTGGATCAAGCATTCTGATCGTGCGGTGACCTGTTGCAGAACATATCGCAGTTGGTTGGACACGAGATGGTCAGACTTCTTCACGAAAGCTTTGAACGAAAGGAATGTTGGACCTGGTGTCCCTGAAGAGAGGATGATGTACTGGACCACTCTAGCTTGCGACAGGGGTGAATGTAGACGTTACTGGCGCCTGCTCGAGGAAGTCGATGACCAACGGAGGACAGGTGATACAGGTGATCACAGTTGATGGGAAAATGAGCAAACGTAGATGGCAAGAGGACATATAGACGCCCCGGTTTATGAATTATCTCATGTGGAACGATTGTCAAACAACGGAACGTTCCAGATCTACCTGCCTATGTTCGTCCTCCAACATCACTGGCCATTTGTCCTTACTATTGACCAATGCCTTTATGAAACGGCTTGGGCATCACCTACTGGAACTTCAAGGTTCCACTAATGAAGCGAAGAGGGTTACAGACATAGTGGCTTTAGCGTTATAGGGCTTTCTGCCAGCGCTCTTCACTTGCCATTAGTCCTTGCCACCAATCATCTTACGGTTATTCATATCCCACAGCACCCACTCAAGTGCCAAAACCACGCTGTTGACACGAGAGCCATTAAGACCTAACTGCTTCACCTTCTATAGTTCATCATCAGTCAGTACAGGTATTATCAATTCCTATCACCAAATATTTCCCTTCTTAACTTAACCCCCTTACAAAAATGCTAAGGCTGCGCCGTCAACACGATGGAAGTAACGGATCCTACTACTCTTGCCGCCTTCTAAAACTCCCTATCGGCTCCTACTGAATGTTACCACTTCTTACCACTTACCGTTAAGGTTTCCATCTTTCTCATAAGTTTGAAAATAAGTATGATAGTAGGATAAGCTTACCGACCGTTATTTCATCGGGCACATACACATGTAATCGATATGAGGCGAGATCACCGTCAATATCATGAAAAAAGTTTTTATGATTTTGAAATCAGTTAATAGAAATGATGCTAGTGAGAGGCCGTACTATTATTCTTTGTATCGTCGTTACCGAATTGTGCCTCGAATACTCGAGTACGTTCATTTTTGCAGTAGATCTTCGTAGGTTTGAACAACGTACCACAAATGGTACTTCTGGTTATGGAGCCAGGTTCCGACGTTCGGACTCAAGTGTGATCGTGCGCCATTTGGGAGACGGGCAGTTGGATCGGTCAAAGTAAACGACTTAATTGCACTTCACCATTTTTCGACCCATGCTTCAGTCGTTTCTGCCTTGTGGTCAATAGGTGTTCAATCCACTTGTTTCATCTTCAATTTGACCCATCAGTTGGATCGTTGAGTTTGCATTTTTTTCGAAGACTCCATTTCTTCTCGCCTAAAATTCGAAATATCAGCCAAAGTTTGCCGTAGAGAGGAGGTCGGGTGCAAGGAAAGCAATCCAGCTGGTAATCAGTGCTTATATAATAACTCTGATAACTGCGAATGTCTGGACACTCATAAGAAATTTTAAAATCTCGTCTTTTTTGCTCCAAATCGTACCTTTTGTAGCAGAACAACCTGCTTAATCAAAGAAAGCATGATTTATGATCCACTGGCCTTATCCTTCTTATATATAAAGCAGTAACTTGGTTTGTTGGGGCGGAGGTGGTGTAGTGGCAAGTGGCGCACTATATCACACGCACGGTCAGGGGTTCGAATCCCGGATCGATGCCCGCCTAGGCCAACCAAGCCTTCCATCCCTTCGGGGTCGGCTGATTGGTAGCAGACTCGTCTGGGAGGATAAAAGCACTGACTTGTACATCGGCTGGCCACCGCAAGTCATTGTATAGGCCATATACGCACTCATTACGCCACTACGATTCTGAATGGAAGTCGAGTGCGGGGGCGCATCCCTCAGACGGGATTGATTAACGCCAAAAACTTTATCCTTTATCCTTTAACTTGGTTTGTCGGTTTGTCGGTATGTCGGTTTGTCTGTATGTCGGTATGTCGGTTTGTCGGTCTGTCCGTCCGGGTTACTTTGTGATTATGATAAAGGTAGTGATATGGAAAACTTATTCTTCTTATATAAAAAGCAGTTACTTTGTGGGTAGGCTAATGGAGTAAAGTGAGCACTGCGGAGTGAAGTGAGTAATATGAAGTGAGGAGGATGATTCAAATTGTGATCTCTACTGTACTGTAATGGCAGTACT